CCCTGTTGAAAAAAACAGCATATGCTGGTTAGGTATGTTTTGACGCTGGGATGCTGGTTTATGCTGGTCCTTTGCTAGCACATGACCAGCATAAACCAGCAAAGGACCAGCTTAAACCAGCAAAGGACCAGCATAAACAAGCATCCCAGCGTCAAAACATACCTAACCATTTTAGTCTATTATCTTAATTATGAACACACTGGTTTGTAATGCAAACAGTTTTACCATTGTTATTCTTCTTGTTATTTCCCTATAGCGGCTAATGAACCAGAAGTCTCAACTCTAAATGGTTCTTCTGAGGCATTTTGGAACATTTATTTTTTAGTACATATCTATAATTTCAATCATATCAAATCATTTATAGTGTCATTTACAGTTGTTTTTTTTTCAACTGCTTACATTTTTTTAAAACTTTGCCTCTTTTTTTTTTTCAAAACTTTACACACAAATCCAAGAATTGCACACACAAAATGCAAAATGCCTCACATCTCTTGCTAAATGAAGCACTGCATTCAAAATATCACAAACACATCTCCAAAGCAAACATTTGCAAACACCTTTGCCATAATATTAATTCCTGTTAGATTACATAAAGAATTGTGTGTTGTGTTTTGCAAAAAGTGTTTTATGAAATTGAAAACTGAGTCAAAGGCCAAGAATTAGCGTATGGTTTTGCAGATTTGGTGTGTGGTTCTGGTGTTTGTCAGGTTTCAGAAATTGTGTGACAAGTAAAGATTTTGTGTGTAAGCAGTTGAAAAAAACTGTATAATACATGCATTGATTAGGGTCATTGGACATCACATTTGAGCTGTGTCTGCAATGATATGAAGAATGTAAATACAAATAGAAGAAGGTAAAATATTCTGAATTTGCTAGAAAATCATTATAGCAGATAACCACAGATTACGGAGGAAATTTAGATGTTGCAGTGAGAAAAAAAGGTGATATTTGCTATATGGAGGATGTCTGAATCTCCACAGTCTTTTTTTGGTCCAGGAACATGGTGAAATGAGGTAAATAGGGCCACTTCTTGACTAGTCTCAGTGGCAAAAGTGGCCTAATTTACCTGAAGTCAACCTAAATAAATAATTCAGACACTACTTCTGATGTTAAAGGTACACTCTAACAAGTGCTGGGTTATTTCTGTAAACACATTTTTATATATACATAATAAATATACACAGTACACACATATATTATGTAAACAACAACTTTTATTTTGGATGCGATTAATCGCGATTAATCGTTTGACAGCACTAAAATACAAACTAATGACCATACACCATTAAAATAATGTGAGGACATTATTAAAACTAAATAAATGTATCTAAATAATATATTGTTTATATTTATATTAAGAAATTATATTGTTATAAGTCATTTCATTCCTAGCAGTTAACAAAATGGATGAAAAACGTGGATGTGCTTTGCTGCCATTTGTGGTGAAAACGCTTGTGGTTTTTAAACCTTTTTTTGTCTCTTAATAGATTTAATAATATAATTGGATTTGTTTCAGTCGACTCGATGTTAACGAATCGGTTAATGATTCAATGACTCAGAGAGAAATTCGTCGGTCGGAAGATCCAATTGTGATATTTTGATTAAAAAATAGGCTTAAATAAATATACAAATAAATCTAATGAATGCATGAATAAATCGTGATCTATAACACTTAGAGAACAGATAGGGAGCTTTAATTTCATGCCGAATGACTCGTATAAAAGACTCCACCTACTGAGGTGAATCAAAATCCACTCCGCTGTTAGGCATCCTAATGTTTTGTCCAGTGTAGGTGCAGCGAAACTTGATGATGACGTACCATCCAGCAGTTTGACTCGTCAGTGAATAAAGTTGCGGCTGTGCGTAACGTCTCAGTTTCCTCCTCATACCGGTGTGGCCAGTTACCGCAAGGCGCACTGCTCTTTAATCACGTTTATTCACGTTTAAATAAAATTAGTTTATTTTTCGTCATCTTTTTTCTTTTCTTTTCTTTTCTGGTAACCCAACACCATCAAAGCTGAAGTTCTTTTAGAAAAGGTAAGATTAATTTAATCTGACTTGCGTTAGTCACTGGGCTGCTGCTGCTGCTGTAAAATGGCTCTGATTGCGCTCATGTTCTTGCTTTCTACGTTTGCTAGACCTATAACAGCTACATTCCGTTATCCAGGAGAACCGAGCGCCGCTACAGAGTTAAACCCAGAGGTTTAGCGCAGTATGTGAGCTGCTGAGTGTTTATATGTTGATGGTGCGGCTTTGCTGACTCGCTTTATGATCCTTTATGAGAAAATGGCGTCCGGTTATTAGATCAGCTGTTCTCTCGCACCACCCTGCCGGTAAACCGCCCGTTTGACCATAAAACAACGAATATTATACTGCCAAGCGACCCGCTATTAAACTTGATGCCTGGTTTTGGTTTCCACTTGCTTGAGTTGACTTTAAACGTTGAATGTCCAAATCGTGGCCGTTTTCTTCTGTGCTATAATTAGCCTCAATGCTAATGCACGAGAGGAGCTCTATGACAACAGCTGAGTTATTGTCTATCATAATCATAAAATGTACGCTCATTTAAACTGTCTGTATGTAGTCTTCATTAACTGACCGTAAACCTTTTAAGAAACCCACTTATAATGCCGCTTGAATGTGTTGTTTAATAAATCAAGGCTCTTTTGTGAAATCTGAGCTCATGGCAGAGGCCCTGTGCTTTGTTCAGATTTGATGGCAGTTCAGTTCTTGACATTTATCCGCATTGTCATTTTTTCAGTGCGACTAAAGAACAATCTCTCCTATACATTTCAGTTGAACTTAAATGCTTGTCATTTCCATTTTGTAAATGTATCTAAATGAAGTGCTTTTCTCCTCTTTTAGGCCGTGTTTCTACACCCCCACCCTTTCACTCTCATTCTTTTTGAGGATCTTTCATTGTCAAGCCGCCAAAGTGGAGAGTGTGATTGCAGAGGGGGGTGCTTCTCGTTTCAGGTAACGTTACACTTTATTATAAACCGTTTTTATGGATCTATGCCTTTTCAGAAGATCATTGGTTTAGTTAAAGGGGTCATATGATGCTGCTAAAAAGAACATTATTTTGTGTATTTGGTGTAATGAAATGTTTATGTGGTTTAAGGTTCAAAAAACACATTATTTTCCACGTACTGTACATTATTGTTTCTCCTCTATGCCCCGCCTTTCTGAAACGTCAATTTTTACAAAGCTCATTGGTCTGAAAAGCGAGGTGTGCTCTGATTGGCCAGCTATCCAGTGCGTTATGAAATGTTACGTCCCTTACCATACTGTGATGCCCTGTTCAGGCCGGAGCGACGAGACAAAAACATGAAAACCCATTACTTTTATAAAGAATATCTCTTTGGATTTGAGACTTTAGTCTTTGCAACTTTACAGATCTTCTTTATGCACCAAGAGCTTGTAACACTCCAAAGAGAAACGAAAAATTGAAATCGCATCATATGACCCCTTTAATAAGATGCATATTGTTAGCTTATGGTCAGAAAGAGCTCAGTATTTCATATATAAATTCCTGGGATGTGGGGAAAATAGATTGGAAAATGAGTTCCAGTGATTTAAATAAAAACTCACAATATGAATTTTCACTTTTATAGTGCTTCTTCGGGCGGAGGAGGAGGTAGGGGTGCACCTCAGCACTATCCCAAGTCTGTCGGCAACGGGTACGTTTGGAGAATTGAATAATGGACCTTTTTTATGTTAAAAATTGGCAAGTAACAAATTGGTTTGGATATCTCTTTTGGTCGTGTCTGAATCAAAATGAACTTCAAGTTTTGATCTATAAAATGCGCTTGTTTATTGACCGCTCAGCTCATTTAAATGTATTGCTGTCCTCTACATCAGTGACCATCATTACATCATCGACATCGTTGAGTTAATTCCTGAGGACTTGTTGATTGTGTAAGTGGGGGGAAGATTTGTTGACTCTGAATAGCAACCAGCAAAAAAAGAACATTTTACTGTAGGTTTTTCTGAAGAAAAATCAAGTTGGGTGAAGTCACTCACCATGAAATCAAAACTAACTGTTCTTTTTATGTAATGTTTGTTATAAATGTATTCATGCATTTATTTGTATTTAATTCATATCCCTTCATAATGTTTAATCACAATATCATCTGTTCTCTGAATTGTGCATCATTGCGTAACCTTTCCCTACCAGCAACCTGTCACTCAAGAGATCACAGTAATGGCAAACAACAACTAGCCAATCAATTCCTGATAGGCAAAATCAAGTCCAGCCCGCCTCTTTTGGTTTGAGCCTTTTCACATGGATATAGTTCAATTGGAAAGAAAAGATTATTACTTATTAAAGGGATCATATGACATTGCTAAAAAAGAACATTATTTTGTGTAGGCCTATTTGGTGTAATGAAATGTTTATGCGGTTTAAGGTTCAAAAAACATTATTTTTCACATACTGTACATTATTGTTTCTCCTCTATGCCCCGCCTTTCTGAAACGCATCGATTTTTACAAAGCTCATCGTTCTGAAAAGCAAGGTGTGCTCTGATTGGCCAGCTATCCAGTGCGTTGTGATTGGCCGAATTCCTCAAGCGTGTGACGGAAATGTTGCGGCCCTTACCATACTGTGATGCCGTGTCCTGGCCGGAGCGACGAGACAAAAACATTAAAACCCATTATAAACGAGGCATGTGTTGCATCCAGTGGGGACATAATTACTGATTATAATGACTTATACTGTCTTTTTACGCGTTGCGTTGCGTATCGCGCCGCGTAAATGTAAAACCATGTCTGCATTTGTGATCGGAGAAATGACAAACAACAAGCGCTACTCTACACTGCTCAAAACTTGCTTTTGAATCGTCAGTGGCAAATCCTTTAAATATGAAAACGTACTTACAGGCTGTGAGTCAGCATCATAGACTATATGGTCAGCATGCACGCCGAAGGGGAAACGGGGGAACTGAATTCACCGGAACACCGGCATTGTAGACTACTCTCTCAGGAAACAGTCCTCGTCCTCTGTAAAATGCGTTGCACACATCTGAATATTTGGTTTGAACTGTTCAGGAACAGTGTTGTACATTCAACGTAACCACTGATTTCTAGTTGTGTCCTCTTTTGGAAGGCCAAACAAAGTTTCGTTTTTACAACGAAACGCACAGCATCTCCACGACATGGCGGCGGCAACAACAATACTACAGCGAGAATAAAAGTTACGCCTTTCTTTGTGTGAACATTTGGGCGGCGTTATGCAAATCTTCCCACGTCGTGATGTAGACATATGGGGGCGTGTTTAACTGAGGCGTTTTATGAGGGCGTGGACGAGTCTTAACTTTTATAAAGAATATCTCTTTGGGTTTGAGACTTTAGTCTTTGCAACTTTAGGGATCTTATCTATTCACGAACAGCTTGTAACACTCCAAAGAGAAAGAAAAACTTGAAATCGCATCATATGACCCCTTTAACTACTTATTAATATTGTCACATTAGTTTTAAATGTAAACATTATTAGTAGCTTGCCCTGAATCTGAGGTGTTGACCTCATGTGAGGAAATACCATTAAAGTGTTTTAATCATGTACGGGTGGTGGCAGAATCCTTTCTGATTGGCACAAAAAGATATTTCAATGCCGATGTTTTATGATGGACATTAGTAAGTCACTAAAGCCTTGACAAAACCAATGACTCTGCACTGTTGTTTTATAGCGAGTTCCTGGGGAAAACCCCAGGACCTAACGTTCAGAGATGGGTTCCTTCACGAAGCACTAGACGAGATGTCAACTCCAACGAAAAAGAACGACACGATGCAATCTTCAGGAAAGTGAGAGGGTAAGAGCCTGAAATGAATCTGCTCATTCACCACTGCAGAGACCATAGAGTTTGTACTGATTTACCTTATGAGAGTAATATAATACACGGCGGAAAGCAGAACACACTCCCTTGTCCTGCTGTGAAAAGTGTGTAAAGACATGTGTCTGGCTTTGAAAAACATTTCTTCCTTGATTTGAATATTCTTTGTTGCAAATGTACTTTAATTAGCTTTTTAAAAACCAATGGAAATGGATGTCACTGAAGAACTAACCATTTTGCTTGTGTTTTAATCGTCAGGAAAGTGAGAGGGTAAGAGCCTGAAATGAATCTCCTCATTCAGTTTGTGCTGATTTACCTTTCGAGAATGATATAAAAGACTATGTACTTGAATTGGTTTGTTTGTTTGTTTGTTTCAATGGGTTTTACTGAAAAATGGACCATTTTGCTTCTGTTTTTTTTAGCATACTTAATAAACTGACCCCTGAAAAGTTTGACAAGCTATGCCTTGAGCTCCTGAATGTGGGCGTAGATTCAAAGCTCATCCTCAAAGGAATCATCTTGCTGGTGAGGGTTTTGTTCATTATATGTGTAGGCTAGAGTCACAATACCAATACTGCTGAAATTTCATACTCCGTACCAAAGCAGATGGCTTTTCTTACACATGAAATTAGCACGTCAACGTGTGTATGTATGTATTAGGGCTGCACGATATATCGTTTCACCATCGAAATCGTGATGTGCGCATCTGCGATAGTCACATCGCAGGATGTGCGATGTTTGGTATACTGATCGTTATTCCGTATGGACTAGGGTTGTGATGGTGAGGAAATTTTCCCACCGGTTAATCGACGTGTGACAACACCGGTAATACCGGTATCACGGCGGGGGCGGGGGCGTTCCCTCTTTTCCTCGCCTTCCTTCGCTTTTAAATGGCTTGTAAAAACGGTGTGCACATTTTACTTTCACTTTCAAATAGCGGCAATTCGGAATAACCAAATAAATAAGAAACGTATAACGTTTATTAGCAAAACGAATGTCAATGGCAAAAGTCAACAGGCTTTTCAAAATCCAAAATATTGCCAAACAGGCGCTTTTGCACTTCAACTGCATTGAGCAGCCGCATTCAGTTTTTAATTGTAGTGTCTGTTCTTTTACTGAACTAAATTATTTGTATTACTATAAAAAAATCTAAACTACGGTGGGGGTCGGTGACGCGGTGGGCAAGTGACGTAACCGGTGTTGCGGCTTAACACCGGTATCACCGTCAGCACCGTCTATAGTGTCAAGCCTAGTATGGACCAGGTACAGGGTTCCAAACGCAGGTGATTGTTGGATTAATGGCAAAGTTTAGCCATCATACAATGAAGGTTAATAATTTGCATGTGTTTCAGGTACTGTCGGTTTAAACTTTCAAGCAATTTTAAACCATTTGAGCGTGAGAAGGAGCTAAATAGAGCTCAATTATGAACATATGCGCTGTTTTCTTCGCTCACACACAGACACCGTATCTACACCGGGTGCGACAGCTTGAGTCTGTCTACACTGGATGCGACAAAGTGACCTTTGCAAATCATTTGTGACTCTGGACCACAAAACCAGTCTTAAAGGTTTAGTTCACCCAAAAATTAAAATTCTGTCATTAATTACTCACCCTCGTGTTGTTCGAAACCCGTAAGACCTTCGTTCATCTTCGGAACACAATTTAAGATATTTTTGATGAAATATGAGGGCTCTCTAACCCTCCCATAGACATCAAGGTAACTACCACGTTCAAGGTCCACGAGCGCATGGCGGCGCTGACCCAGATCAGGCGTAAGGACGTCATCACGCCGGATCTGGGTCAGCGCCGGCTCCGCCACACGCTCGCGTCATGATACTGTCGTGAACGCGCGTCCAAAGTGACGCAGTAGAGACGAAAATATGGAATAAAGTCGTTATTTTTGTTTTCTTTGCGCAAAAAAGTATTCTCGTAGCTTCGTAACTTTACAGTTGAACCACTGATGTCACACGGACTACTTTGTCGATCATCTTGGTACTTTTCTGGACCTTGAACGTGGTAGTTACCTTGCTGTCTATGG